TCCGGGTCCCCCCCAACCTCCGCACTCTTTCCGTCGCGTTGGTCTAAGTCCTCGAGGCGGAGAGAAAGGAACCAGAGTGATGGACGGCTGCCTATGGCGTTGCCATGTGGCCTCGGTCACATGGGTTCGTGACGTACGGGGTAAAAAATCTTCAGGTCATGGGGCTTCCCCTGACCTAGATTCTATCTCTCCGTCACCAGCAGAATCGCTGATTAATGCCTACAGTTCAAAATAGTCATTTTGACTGACCGGAGTCTATGGTGGGTATGAACTATGTGAATAGGCGGGTTTGAAGAACCCTCGCCTAATTCCAGTTTTTATAATCATAAAAAAAGCTAGTTTGGATGTCTAGTAACTCAACATCCTGTCTTGTTGTTTACAGTGACAGACAAAAGAGACCAGGAATAACCCCTATCACTTTTGATGATGCATCACATCCTAAGAAACAACGTGGATCATCAATGAAATCACGAGGAGCTCGTCAAATGTACCAACCACCTAGTGGCAAGTTTAGTACTAAAGCTGGATCTGCTCCAACATTTGGTGATCCGGATTATGGAACAGGATTTGGTAAGGCAATTTTATGCATTTCCAGACACTTGTATTGATTTGATGTGGCCAATGTAGTCTTATTTAATTCGTTTAAAGCCTATATAGTTTGTTCATAGTGCCATAACTTCAGATAATACAGCTATGGCATCAAAGAATACAGTTGTATATATTTAAGCCTTCACTCAGAAAAGCTTCCTCCACAATATCAATCAAGTGATCAGGTTATCATGCAACTATGTAGGTCACACTTATGTGTCTGCCATAGGAAATCAGTGTGCCCTCCAAAACAAATGATTTTTATCAATATTGAGTCAAAATGGATTCCTAATAAATCAATTTATTAAAGTCAGCATGTTGACTGCTTGGTCTTCAAGAAAAAATAAAAATGTGACTGTATTGGTGACTTTAAAACAAACAAAAAATGTTGTGGCCCCTGAATTTCTTTGTTTTTACACTAACTTTTGTTTATAAATTATGAATTCCATTTTGCCAAATTACTAATTCGATAGCTATAGCGAAATGGTTTTCCATGTACAATTTTCTGTTACATCAATGATGTCTCAATGAATTAGCACAACTAAATGCGTAACATCAAGTCTTTTTGAGAGTCTGTGGCACGTCATATGGGCTTAGTGGGCACGCTGCATCCTATGTTGTATATGGCTTGGTAAGACAGATAATGAAATAGCATCTGAGTAATTAGAAATGTTTTTAATTTCCACAGGTAATAGACGTGGTGCATGGCGTGGTGGCGGCGGTGGTCGCAGACAACGTGGTGGATGGAGAGGCGGAAGAGGCAATTACAGATATTAATTGGAATGGACAAACTATTTTTATCATTGATGACCATTTGCTGCTCTACAGTTTTTTAATCTTACAGTTGAAATCATGTGTAGTTTCAGTATACATTGTCCACCCAGCTAGAATTACACCTTTTTAAAGTGGGTGAAAACTTGTATATTTAAACTAATTTCACTCATCATTCTCTGTTGGTCATACACAGCCTTTGCTTTTGACTGGACTGACAACATGTACTCCCTGTTTTTTTTTTAATCCTGATTTGATGGTCCATTCCATTGTTAAGAGTTAGTATGTTTACAATCATAACCACCACAGGATCTATAGGTCCTTCTCTTTCACTTTTTTGTTTTATAGAATAAATTATATGTTCTTTGAAATTCTGGTCGTTTTTGTGTTCATTTGAAGTCTTTCATGTTAAATCCTTATTTGGACGGACTCGTAATTTCACCTTTGCGTATGCAGATGATTCCGGTCGCATTTTAAACACTTGATGCTGTAGAAATGAATATCTGCCGTGTTTTGACCTGGACGTTGTTTTTTGACCTGGCAGGTCAAATCGCTAATTAACCAATCAAAATGATGGATGATGCCAGTGTGTTCAAATTACCATAGCTCATTTAAATATGTTAATGTTATTGAATGCAACACGGAAGAGATTTGCCGATGTTGTTGTACGATCTTTTGAATTTTGGTGGGAAAGCGACATGATTTGTTTGTTCTTAAATAAAAAAAAAATAGTTGTTCAAAAGATAAACTGAGCATTTGAAGAATGATTTAATATTGTTTACAGTGATAACAGCTCATCGTCAAAACGAAGCTTATACCCATTCACGCTAGTTGCAATAAACTTCATACTCTTGAATAGGCATCAATGACTACAGTGAAACTTTTCTTGGTCCCAATTTATTATTTTGAAAAACCCAAACTGCCGTTTAATGGCCCAGGGCGAATGTTTTAGTGCAGAATCCGGTATAAGTACTACATGTGAACCTCTCTCAGATTTGTTCATTTTGTAATGATATTTTTAATTCTGTAATTTTGGTGAATATTTTTGCTAAAAAGTGATATTTTAGACTTCTTGTTGAAAATCGCAAGTCCAATTGCTTTTATATTATACATGTAGGTACTACATGTGGACCTCTCATTTGTTCATTTTGTGGTGATATCTTCAAATATCTAATTTTGATTAATATTTGTCATTTTTGGTGAAAAGTGATATTTTTAAATTCTTGTTGAAAACAGAAGTCCAATTGCTTTGATACTATACATATTGTTCATTTCCCAATGATATCTTCTGTTCTTTAATTGCAATATGCATTACTAACAGTGGAGATGTCTTAGCCGACAGGCTGCTTGTTTAGCCCACAGTACACCCAAAATGCCAATCGTGTTGAAGTTTGATGTCTTTTACATGAAGTCAACTGGTAATAATAATCTTGAATATAACCTGGTCTAATAATATAATCTGGTATCTCTACGTATAAGTGTTATCAGCCAAGCAAGACGAAGTTTCCCGAACACAATGTCTTGTTCACAACAGTTTTCACAAAATTCTGCAAGATGCGTGCTGACATCGAAGAAAGAATCACTTTTGCAAAGCCTGTGTCACAGTGTAAGGCCTGCTTATTGATATTAAGAGGGACACCCACAGAACTCTCACTGGACAGGTGTTTTTTTTTACTTTCAGAATGGGGTAGACAAAAGAAGAGTACTGGAAATGAAATACACATACACCAAAATATCAAGTTAAATCTCCTGGCTTTAATACTTCTCATAATAATTTACAAGAAACAAAGCACAGAATTATACAATAAATAAATTCACTAAAATTGGGATTGCCTAGGGAAGTGTGCCTTGGTGATAACTCACAGTTCCAGGATGTGGAAATTGATGACAGTCAATGGCTTCTCAACACAAAGACAAAGAAATACAGGAGTCTTGCTTGCAGAGGAACGCTGGTATTCTGGAGGGCACCGCTGATAGCGGGAGATCGCAGAGCAGTTCATACAAGTCTCACAGAATGATGATTGAAGCCTGCATCACTTGTCTCACAATATCGCAGCAGCAACACACAGGGTACTCGATTGAAATGGTGGACCACAACTGTCCTCAGTCTAGCTTTTTTATAGGGCATATATGGCCCAGATTCAGGTACACCACCTGGGTTTCCACAGGAGCCACAGTAAATCACAAGCACACCTGGTAGATTCCTTCTAAAGTTGTAAACATGACAATGCACACCGTTTCTTCCCATGATTCCATGCACACTTCTATTTGCAGGGTAAATGATGCTGACAGCCTGGTTTGTGTTTTTTCTGGGTCTTATACTGAAAAGGGTCGTTGTAAACAAATATGGGAAAACTTAAAAATTGTATATGACTGTTCTGTGAGAGCTCAGGTGTACTTGTCAACTGTTTTGTACTCGTGGATTGTTTTGTCGAATAATGTCAGTCGTTTATTTTGTGTAGAGTATTAAAGAGCGAACGAGAAGCAACTATGCTGAAGCGCCCCCAACGGCAAGACTCAAACGTAAACTTGCGCGATCATGATACGATCAGTATGAAATAAATTGCAAACTTTCATTGCTCGAGGGTCGCCCATCTGCAATCACAGCAATGAGTGTCACGATTGCCAATCACGATAATGATCTGACAAAACTAAGGCGCCCCAATTGACTTTTACATTGGTTTCATTTGATGCTGTTCACAAAATAGAAACATACATGATCACAGAACTACTTTTTTTGCACAATACGGTGGTACTTTTAAATTCTATCAACTCCAGTCAGTTCGCTCAAATACGAGTCAATAACAACTACGTCATAGTGATTCTCATGGTGTCCGGCTTTTGCATTGTATAACAGATTTGAAGTTCTGAGCTCGACGACTTTGGCATTTTAAGTTCAACCCTGTGTTGGATGTACATTATGACTGAACGTGACACTCATTTCAGGTTACCCAATAATATAGTTTAAAAATTCAAAATGGCATCTGGATAACGTCTGACGAATCAGTGAATGGAAGGTGATAATCATGTTACCTCCCATGTGCTGATGAACATAATTTCATAGTGACTTTAGATCATCCAATGATCAACCAATTTCGCCTATAGAGGGCAGTGCAAAGGAATGCCCAAACTGAACGAATCACAACCACTTGTTTGAATTTGAATCTACATTTATAAATAATTACAAACATTACTGTTACATGTAACAACGGGTAATCTGAAATGAATTATTATGAAATGAAGTATTATGAAATGAAGTATTATGAAAGGCGAAAGTGAAAGCATGTGTTGCAAAGCATATAGTGTACACCGTAACCTCGCATCACTCGTATCATATCAACTGACTCTCGCCATTCTGTGCGCTCATCTAGGTGATAATTAAAGACAGTGTACAAATCCGTTGTATTTTGCTGAGTATAAAGATTCATCAAATAAATCATGCGTGTGTGGGGTGGGGTGGTAGTACCCGAACTTGTTTCCATAGAAACCTCTTAATGATTTCACTCTGGAGCCCATGTCTCTTGTAAAAAGTGCGTTAGCCGCGGCCATCATTAAGTGGCTACATTTCAGCCAGCTAAGCGGAGACGATTTCAAAATTGCTGGCCACGGTGTTTCACCGCCTCATGCTTATTACACGGTGGGATGTGAATCGTGCCGGCAGATTAAGCACGTGACCAAATGGCGGTTTTCCTATCACGAGAACGGTCACAAAAACAACAATACCGGTATAACTGTGTACAAAATTATAACCAGCTCTACAACTACAATATTCAATTGGATCGACGGTTCTGTTAACAAAATACAACGGTTCTGTGATTGTTGTACGACCGACAGACATAATCCCCATCAGGTGTTACACACCACTTCACCAAACATACGCATCACATACACATATCGATATTTCTCAACACACAGTGCAAGGCAGCGCTGGTCCGCGGCCTCTATTCCGGATAACAAAACTCCGCCAAGGACCAAGTGCAGCATGTTTAGCCGAATGGCAATGAACCCACGTCTGGGTTTTAGACGACTGGTTGCCGCCATATTAATTTGGTTAATTTATTTAATATACATGGGACCCGTGAGACGGAGTACATCACATGCGAGAAAGGTAAGGCCGTTAGTTTTACTGAATGATGTGTTCACATCACCACAATCACCGGCCATCAAAATACACACGAAATATATTCTATATAAATCACATACGTGACTACAGTGGCGGTGACATTGAATTATCTTAGCTCATATACCCACAAGCATGTACCCACCATTCAATAGACGAACGAAATCAAAAAGGTATTGAAAATTAGCGAAAGTATAAAATTTAAATTGCATCCAGGTTAGTGACACGAAGAAGGAAAAATCAGTACCATCGTACACCGGCATTGTAGGTTATACCGAGCTCACAGCTTGCAATAAAACACCACTCCATAGTACAAAGCTGTGACAATAACGCTACGATAAAATTATTCGACCCAAAACACGTCACCTAACGGCGTTTAATTTAATATTATATTTTCTCTCTCTCTGTGTGGTCAACATATACGATTCTCTGTTATGAATGTGAAATAGAAAATGATTTCACTTTCGGCATCTAAGCTTAGTAAAATATCAACATTGCAGACGACATATTGAACAAAATATATCACATATCCCATGATGCAACATAACTTTATTTAACCATAATAAAGTGGCTTAATGCGCAATGTGTTATAATAGCGGTCGCAGCAATGTTTGTATTTGTGTGTTTGTATTTCCAAATTAAAACCGAAAACCAATTTTTTTCTATAAATTATTCGACATTGCACCAAATGCAGACAAAATTGTGATTAATCTTGAATTTGGATGATTTAATTGTGCATGAAATAGTATTCATTCAATTTAATGGTCAATGCGCATGCGCACCGAATTGCTGGTACGTATAAAATAATGCAGTCCTGTACACATTCACACAATCACTGACCAATGAAATAATTTTCCTGAACCGCGACTTTTGTGGATTCTTTTTTAGTTGATAGATTGTATCAATTTAATTTCAAGTCTCGAACAAGTCTTGGGTAACCAGACATGTTTACCGTGAAAGCAATGATGTTATGTTTTAAGATTAACCCCATAGTGTTATGCTCCAATACGACTGCTAGTTTGGGAAACACATGGGTACAATCTTGAAATCTGGATATACTGTTGTTATTCGTTATATTTTTGTTTATACATGATATCCGCCCCCCACTCCCTATATTTAGGGGGGCCTATGCTTGTTCCCTCATTTTTTGACCCCCCCCCTATCTAGGGAAAAGAAGAAAATTTAACCCCCCCTTTCACGGGCTTTTCCGATGAATTTCACCCCCTATCTAGGGAACTTTTCAGTCTAGAA